TCGCTTGAATTTGTACCTTTTCTCTTTAGATTCGACGAATAAATTCACGGATTCAGCTGGTAATATATACCGAATGCGATGTAGACTATTATCACGTGGTCAAATATACTTGCGGTGCCTTGGACTAGGTTGTGGTGTCAGTGCAACATATAGTTTTGAAGAAGGAACCGTAGAATTCCGCGGTGAGCATTCGAACCATCCGTCTTTGAGTGAAAATGAAATTCGTGTGATTGAGCTGAGCCAAGTAATTCGAACCAAATCAAATGATCCAAAATTCAGTCATTGGAGGAACACTGACATTTACGATCAATGTGTCTCTGAATTTCCAAATATTATATTGCCGGACGATCATCGAAAAAGGGCACTGTCATCCATTGCTGGCTACCGATCAACGGCGCGAAAGCAAAATAGCGAAAAATTCAAGCAAAATAGCGAACAATTGTAGCAAAACATTGATCAAATGAAGCAAATCAACAAAGAAACCGCAAAAATCAAGCAAAGTAATCAAGGGAAAAAAGCAAAAATTAACCACATCAAAAACGTCGCTCCGAACAAGTAAATGATGTGATTTTAATCTGTCAATTGAAATTGTTTAATTGATTAAAATGGTTTCTCAATTTTAGGATAGAGGAAAAACAGCTAAAATTTGGCGTACCAATCGGTTTCAAGGCTATTGCAGGTAATTTTCATTTTTACTAACTGGCTCTTTGAAGCCAATTGGTGTTGATAAGTAGGAAAGAAGTAGAAATAACGACCGCACTCCATCCACGGACTTTTGAAATTGTTGCTTTTGAAAATTTTCCATCATTTAATTTCTACAATTATCATTTTTTAGGCTCCAAAGCATTGAGACTCAGCTGATAATGTGTATCGTAGAATGGTCAAGGGGTCCGACGGCACTAATGTTTTGTTCTTTCAATGTCAATGGAAAAATTGCACGGCCATCATTTCGCACAATTACAACGAACCAAAAGTGCTACGTATGGTTAACAAACATTCAGACCATCCAAGTGCCACAAATGATATTCCTCGCATCGAATTAAGCCGATTTATGCGTGCAAAAGCACTTGATATGAAATATAAACATGTGAAGAGTGCCGATATTTATGAACAATGTCTTGCTGAATACAAGGGTGTTAGTGCATTTATGTTGCCAGAAATTCACCGCAAAAAATCCATCGAAGCCATCGAACAAATACGCAAGCATTATGGCATTCAAACGGCATAGAGCTGAGCTGTTATTGGCACCGGAGAAGTGCAGCAACTACTGATTACCCGCACTAATTTCATGTCATTTCTCCAGTACCGCACCCAAATACAAAAAATACTTACATGAAAGTGCTCGCACCTTGGTGGTGCCTATAACAACTCCTGAATAGATTTAGAGCTAGATAAACCGAATGTATTATGAATTAATTAGAAAATGTCATTTTGAACTATTTTAAGATAAAACCAAGGACTATTGAGCTGACTGAGCCCAGTTGATGCATCGACTGATGTATTTTGCATGCAAATTACCTATTTAGTATATTTCGATTCTGCATAATTTATTAAGTGCAGTTCAATTTTCTGTCTCTGAATTCAGACTTCCAATTTAGTAATTTCTCATCGGAGATATAAAATGAAACTGGATTTATTCAGAGAAATTAGATAAATGTCACCGAAATGTACCACGTAGGTAGTATTTTGCGTCAGCTGATCTGCCAATGCCAGTTATGAATTGAAAGTTAAATTATGTTTCCAATTATGCTCACCATTATATTCAGATAGAACCAAATTCACCCGTGCCCGTCAACTCTTAGAACTGAAAAATGTTCCGCAGACTTTTTTATATGTAAAATTAGAACGAATTTTGAATAGTAGGGTCCCTACATTAAATGATGGGGTTCGATCTTTTGGAAGAAATTTTTTAAATTACATTTTCAATTCTTCTTTGAATCGACAATTCGCCAAATATTAAGAAAATGAGAGAGAATAACTGAAATCAAATTGAAAATGTAGATTTATTGATTCATGCGAATGAATGAGCATGTCAATTTCCGAAACTTTTTGTGAATATTGAAATTAATTTAAGAATCTATTTGGAATGTATTGAAAATGATGACTTGTAACTATTACTTTATGCGCTAAAGTATTTATATTTTGCACATGTCACGCGTTGCTCATAATCCGGAAAACAAACAAAAGGCAAACATTGTATCTTGATTGCATGCAATAGGCGTTTTGCTGTAATTTCATTGAATAAACTTATTTTTATATTCGGTAAAATAAATCGCCAAAATATTCAATTAATTCCAGTTGGTTTTATTTCCACGTATGTTTTTGATTCAATTAGAAAATATTTTTTATCATTATATTGAGTGTACACCAGTGCTCTGTACATAAAATATCCATCCGGCAAAAAACTAACCATAGAGTATGCATTTTGATCAAGAGTAATATCATGTATGTAAATATGTCCCTGAAACGCGAAAAAAGAATTATTTATAGTCTCACCAACACCATGGTGCCGAACAATTTTCAAAATATGAGTGAATACCGAAACTGGGCATGGATTGAATACGTTGGTGCTGTTGATGAATTTTTTCATGTAACCGGCAACCAAATCGACTAATATATGAGACCAAGATCCATTTAAATATTCACATGCTTCCACCGAAAATTCCCGAGGTCCAAATACACGAAACTCATTATTAGTCCCTCGACGATATGCTGTCCCTTTGATCTAAAATATAAAATTTGTTTCTTCTTACCATCTAAAATATGTGAATATTACCATAAGATTTGTTATTTCGATGCCATCCTTTAGATAGCAGTCAACATTGTATTTGGCCTTTTTCCAACCAATCGCCTTATATGTGCATGTCAAATTTTCAATCAATTCGGTGCCATGAAGCTTACATTCGATTTGTTTTGGTAATATTTCGAAAGTTAACGGATTCTCTTTGGCAGGTAATTTTGAATTTACTTCGATTCCAAATAAACAAAATGCGAGAATGAAACTTTGAAATAACTTCATTTTATCACTAAAAGTTTTTTTAAAAAAAACTTGACTCGATGGTAGTTACAACATCAATTGTTTTTGTACTTGGCTTTTATACTGGTAAGGCTACATGGTGAGTGAATAGTATAAATGGAATTTTATCTTTAAATTGCACACATCAAAGTGTCTAGTCAAATTAGTTACAGTTCGTGCGTTTTGAAAAATTCATATTAGTTACCGTATTTTGGAATGATGTAATGCTTTGATAAACACCAAGTGTTGGTTATTTATTGATAAATTTAAGTGATTTCAGTTTTCCTCACACCAACTGTGTGCAGTAAACTATTGTAATCAGTGTGACACATTACTAATCACACCAAAATTGAAATCGCCAAAAATCGTTTTTCTACGCGTTTTGGGTATAGAGAATCTAAATGTGTATGTAGGAATGTTGAACATTGTGCATTGTACGCAAAAATTTGTGAGAAGGATAACTCTTCTCATAGAAAAGTAAACCCAAATCTGACTTTACAGGGTGGTTTGAGTAGATTGATGTCATACTGTCTTTGGTCTTTTAAACCCGTCAAATTATGGTTTTTTCCTCATTTTCCACAAAAACCAAACAAATCACTTAAATTACACCTAATAAATACATCAAATGTTGAAAAGTCTACCGACTGTAACTCATAAGAAACATATGGACAATTGTATATACATACCAATCAAAATATTTGGAAAATATAAACAAAGACATTATTGCGTGATGATTCACGTGCGTCTTATCTTTTCTGGAGTAGAAAAAATGTGTGCGCGAATGAATGACCATTGAACTTGTTTTTCTATTTTTAATCTTAACCGGCATCGAATTATTTAAATCTTTTTAATGTGTTATTCAAACGTTTGCTATACATTTGAATGGTAAACGGAATAAATGATCATTTTTTATCAATGAAAGTTTTCACATTCGAATTATCAATTTCATTATGAGAGTCACTTTATTTTCGTGCCACACGTGCGCACTGGGGGATTTCTGGATTTACAACCCTTCACCTAAAGATGAACACGTCCGGAACCACCCCCAAAAAACTTTCACACTAAGCCCCAAGAATTGATAACACATCCGGATTTCCCCTGCATAGATTCTGGAGTTGACGATTTAAGGGAGAGGTAATCGGCAAAAAGATGCTCAAAACCACTAGGAAAATCGAAAATCGCTCGAGGGGAGGGTATTTTGTACCCTGGACCCCCTGGACCCCCTGGTCAGAATCTATGATTTCCCCACAAAGCTATTTTTTATACGAAATATATTTATAAAGTGATAAATAATAAAGTAAACGACTACTGTATTTTGCGACTATATTTGTGCCAAAAAGTTGAAAACAACATAATTGAACGGTGAAAATAATCGGTCAAAATTAGTTTTAAATAGAACTCTACGTTGCTATTCTCAATTTTTTGAAAAATCCGGATTGACCCCCTAGAATTTTTTTTCCTCCTCCAAAAAATCGGATTTTCACGATATTTAGATTATTTTCTCGTTCTACCGTTTATGAAGTGTGTGATGAGATCTATAATTGCAATCGTTCTTTTCGTTTCAAGTGTTTTTTTTTATCATTATTCAAGCTAAATTCAAATTTCATCTTTAAAGGAGTTACACTAACAACATTCTTAATTTTTACTCTTCCACACACACACACACAGAAATAAAATGTCTTATCACCGTTTAAACATTTCGAAGCAATTGGCTTGCTGGTAGCAAATGTGGTCAAATCTAATTGGTTGTTTTGACATAAATTTAAAAATCAGGCCACTATATTGAGATTGAGGTTTCTAATCAGTCTCAACTATATGTTTATTCACCATCATTTGACCTTGTGTCTTTGCTATAAATATGGAGGTTAAACGCAACAAGTAATCATTCTATTTGGAAGATACTTTCGGTAATTTCACATTTCGATTGCCGCTTTCATTATAAGAATAGTGTTGCTATTAAATTTATTGGATTAACTTGTTAATAAATCCTTGAGGGAGGGAGTGTTTAATTCAACCAAATAAGATGATGAAATTTTTATTTGTGATTGTTTTTCTCGTCGGTGCGAGTGTACAAGGTAATTTTATGTGAAGACAAACAAATAGTGAAAATTTAATATCCCTAGTAACGAATCTAATATCAATTATGTCAATGTTTTCAATCAACTTCTCAGACAATATTAACCGTACTGATGACAGTGATTATATTTACAAGGCCATTAAATCAGGTTAGTTGAAGACGATGAATATTCCTTTAATGGTTCAATATTGCATATGACCACAACGGGTTTCAATGTTTTTTATTTTATTTTTGTTTGAGTTTTATCTTCAAAAAAATGAAGTGTATAAATTCAATACTAGTATAATGCAGTGTATCAAAATTAAATTATTTCCGTTCATTAAATCTAGGCAGAGTAGATGTAGTCACATTTCTAATCGATAATGGTGCAAATGTGAATGAATTTGATGAAACAAATTCTGGAATAACACCACTCCAATTGGCTGTTGCTAAAGGTAGTTTTCAAATGTAAATTGAAAAGAGAAGTATTTGTTCATTCGAATTTGATGTATTTTGCAGGTCAAACGGAGATATTCAAAATTCTCATCGAAAAAGGAGCTGATGTGAATTATTTAAACAGGAAAAATATAACTCTACTTCATATAGCAACAATATTCGGTAATTTTACACAATTTTTGAATTAATATTTTCTTATTTGCGCATATAGCTAATCAATGGTACTTTATCAACTTTCAGATAATTTGGAAATATGCAAAATCTTAATCGCAAATGGAATAAACGTGAATGCTATAGACTACGAACATTTAACACCACTCCATAATGCCGCTATCTACGGTAATTGCCAATATGTTCAGAAACTCGAATTTATTTATGTGGATTTAAGCTAATAACTGACCATTCGCTTAATTTTTCAGGTTCAAATGACACGGTTGATTATTTAATTGCAAACGGAGCAAATATAACTGCCGATGCTGAAGTAATGTTCACACCTTTACATGTGGCTGCCATGGGTGGTATAATTTCTAATTTTTGAATAATAAAAATGAATTTCAAATACTTTGTCTGTTTGATCAACATTTCAGGCAATTTGAACACTTGTAAAAGTCTAATTGCACATGGAGCGGACGTTAATGCAAAAACCAAATTTAATTTTACATCTTTACATTACGCAGCCTTTCTTGGTAATTATTCCATTTTTTTTAAATAATTAATATTACGTGTGATCAATGCGCCAAAGCATTAAATTCATTTGATCAATGTTTCAGGTACAAAGGAATTAGCTGAATATCTTATTACAGAAGGAGCTAATGTCAATGCTACAGGTAGAGATGGAGAGAGGTTCGTGTACACGCCTCTACATACTGCTTACTTATATGGTAATTCCAAAAATGTCAAAATAAACATTGAGAATTTCCAATGTACCTGGAATTTGTTTTCACTTTTCAGGAAATGAAGAAGTACGAGAGGTCTTGATTGATAGTGGAGCAGATCAAAATGCAAAAGACGAAAATAATAAAATACCAAGTGAAATGGATACTGGTAATGATTTTTTTAAAATTATATTTAATAGAGACATTTTTTAATCGAAACTGTTTCATTTAATATTCTAGAGAAAGGAAAAAAGGAGAAACTCCAAATTATTGCCCAAATGAATTCGAAGAAGAGAATGTTCGAAAGCTTATAGTAGATGTAAAGTCACTTGCATCTCAAAGGCAGAGACTAGAATAATCAAGCTTAAACCGATTTTATTATTCGCTTTTCAGGCAACGAAGTACTTATTGATTGATCATATCGCTAATGTGAACGAATGCTAAAAAGATGATAAGATACCGAGTGAAATAACTACTATTAGTGCTTCATTTAATTTAAAAAAAGCCGTTTTGCAATTGAAAATTGTTTAATTTCATTTAGAGATAAAGGTCCGATTTACCACTAAATTTTTAACTTTTCTACCATATTTATTATGAATCTTAACATGCAAATGTATGAAGGAGCCATCATCTTTGAAATAAAAAAAAATCATTTGTTATTTTTTGTAAATAGATGTGTAAATAAAAGATTTCCAAAAACTTCTCTTGTAAAGTTGATTTGAAACTAATGCGGTCACTCGTTAATTCGAGCCACAATTCAACGCTTTGATCTACAAAATTATCGGAATTGATCATTTACCAGTGATGGTTTTTTCCTATCTGAATAGCGCTAGCTATTCGCAGCGCCTGTACAGCATTGCTGCCCAGATGCTGAATCGTAGCGGTTGCCGCACGCGCAACACACTTCGTTTGTACCACAAAGAGCATATACGTTCGCGTTCGTTCTCTGTTCGACATGCGTTTGTATACTGACTATGGTATTAGTGTATCATACTCTGTGAGCTCACTGGTTACTTAGACTATATGACGATATGTTGTGTGGTACAAAACGCGTGCGGCAACCGCTTCGATTCAGCATCTGGGTAGCAATGCTGTTCAGACGCTGCGAATAGCTAGCGCTATTCAGATAGGAAAAAACCATCACTGTCATTTACAGCGGATGTGGTATTTCAAAGAAGATTGTTCTTTGTATTTCGGTAGATCTTTTTTCTCTATGAAGTCAATTTTTGGTTCAAGCAAAAATAAAATTGATTAGAATGTTTCGCGTGTCTTATCTTTTTTGGAGTAGGAAAAATGTATGCGCGAATGGTGGCCATTGAACTTGTTTTTCATTTTTTAATCTTAACCGGCACCAAATTATTTACGTCATTTTAATGTGTTATTCAAACGCAATGGGAAGAAATGACAGCAAATTTTAAAATTGTCGCTCTGTTTAGTTTCGATTTGAGCTGTAAAATTACATTGACGTCCCCTTTGAAATTCGGTGCGCCACCGTCGGCTCAAAGAGACTTGAAGTCTTCACATCCTCTCATTGTTCAAACGTTTGCCATACATTTGAAAGTGAAATGGAATAAATGATCATTTTTTTATCAATTTCATTGTGAGAGTCGTTTTAATTTCATGCAATTTGATTTGAATATTTTAATTTTATTTATAGATTAATTTTGTGATGAGATTTATAATTGTAATAGTTCCTTTCGTTTCAAGTGTTTTTGGTATAAATAAGTGTTCAGGGTAAATACAAATTTCGTCTTGAAAGGAGTTATACCAACAACATTCCTAATTTTTACTCTTCCGCACACACCACAGTGATCAGTGATCACACAGAAGTAAAATGTCTTATCACTTTTTAAACTTATCGGATCAATTAGCTTGCTGTAGCAAATGTGGTCAAATCTAATTGGTTGTTTTGACATAAATTTAAAAGTCAGACTACTATATTGAGATTGGGGATTTTAGTCAATCTTAACTATATGTTTTCGAATCGCAAATGCCACATACTGTTTGCGAGATGCGACATATTGTCGTGATTTGTACATAAACATTCCTGTGTTTAGTTTGTATTCGTGATCACTTGCTTCCATTCGCAAAATATGTATGAAACATTCGCTCGCAAATGCAACATTCGTATAAGTCGGAACCCCCTAGCTAAAAAGTATTTTTTTTTTTCTTTCATCAAGTTATAAATATTTCTATAACTTATTTTTTTTTGTCAAAGAAATATAAATGTTTAGCCTGAAGATTGTTTTTGTGAAATCTGGAAATGTTCTGATATAAATTTTCAGTGACGCAAATGTTAATATGTTCACGATCAATTAGATGTATCACGAAGGAAATGCGTTGATTGTACGCATACGCAATATAAAATTGAAAGAAAGAATTATCGAACGTGCCGAAGCAACACAAATTTGGTTGGATAAATTAATTAGCGGCGAAATATATTGGCGCATTAACGTTCATCATTATATGACACCGTGTTTCACTGATATATTTCGCGTTGCACAAAATTATAAAAACGATAATTTAATCCATTCGTTCAAGTTTACCGACGGAGGTTAAACGACGGGAAAATAGCACCGAAAAGATTATCTTGTCAATTGAAGAACTCAAGGAATACGTAGAAAAAACGAAGAATTGACATATTTATTCATCATTCAGATTATTTTATTTATCGATGACACTTAACAATGTTTATTGTGGTATTCGGATTTTCAACTTCATTATTACTGATTATTTTCATAAATAAAATGTTTATTCGTGTGCAAAATGAAATTCCAGTTTTTATAAGTTTCAACTTGGTTTGAGGGCCATAGACATTTACTTACGTTTGAGAATTGTTCAAGAACGCTATCATCGACAATTTAGTTTAAAGATAAACACGTACTCACAAGTTACATACGTCTGTTTGTTTTATTGGCAATTGCAGTCTATTTACTTTTTTTCGCATCAATAAATATTCGTTGAAATTGAACAGAATTCGTTTATTTTTTCAATTAAACAATTTTGATAAATATACTGGAAACAGTTTCTAATAGGCTGCTAAGTGTGAAACCTATAAACAGAATGAAGACAAGCCAATAAGTTTTGGATCAAAGAGCTGAGAAAAGGTACGAAAGTACTGTAAAAACAAAATAAAAAGGCACACTCACTGTATATATCAACATCCCAACGTTTTTTGTAGAATTTCGCATGATGCTGGCACAAAATAGTGAAAGAAAACATGCGACTTCTCCATACACTCGTGTATTCGTTAAAATGTCGATTTAAGGCAATGTTGAATGTCTAGTTTAAATGAATCATCAGACTTTATTAAGAGATCTTTTCGTATTTCGAAGAGGACCATTAACGTGGTCGTGATCTAAACCAATACTGTTTAATATTTTTCAATAGATATATGGACTGTCCGGTTTTAGGTAACCTGACGAAAATAAAACTCCCTAATATTTTTGGAATTTTTATGATTGATGATAATTGTACGAGAACTGTATCGATTCACATTGATCTTGATTCCATTGTAAGATTAGATTGATGATTTTTCTGATTTTTTAAATTCCCCGCCAATTTGGTTTTAATCGAACGTAATACACTTTTTTTCAGCACAAACAATACAAATATAATAACTCCCTGAAGGGTATTGCAAATATCCATTACAAGGAAAAATAAATGATCCGGATCAATGACAGTAGCCGCTTCCATGCCTAACAGCACACCCATTACGATAAACAAACGCAAATACATTATGAAACTGAAATTGAAATATAAAATATTCAAGAATCAGCAAATAAAATTCGGCTTTTTTTTACTTTCCCTGGTATGAAAAAGATATTTGGTCTTGATTTCCCGCTAACCTGTCTCTCTTTCTATTGAAGTGAATGCTATCATTATTTACGTTCACCATCATTTGATTGGACTGTCGAATTTCCATCGCCGTCAACCCAAAAAATACAATATTCACCGTGATGATGATGCACAGCGGAAAGTAGTAGTAAATGAATTTCGAAATTGGCTCCTCTGATTGAGAAAAAAATGCTTTAATTTCAAATCAATAATATTGAACAGTGACCGGTTCGCGCATATTTCTATGCCTGATAGCTATGCTAAGCATAGCGGAGACGTAAGCCGCAACGCACCCGTCACCATTCGATTCGAGCTATATTGTATGCGCACGGTCGTCTGCATAAACGAACATGTGTATTGTTCATATAGAGTGAACGGCGATGCGTCGGTTGCGTTTGCGGCTATGCTTGGCATATCTATGCTACCTAGCGTATTTAGGCAAGCATGGAAATATGCGCGAACCGGTCACTGATATTGAATAAGTATGTTTTGACATACCTTTCAAAAATCCCGTATTAAAGCCCATTCCTGGCTTCAATTCAAATGGAATCGATTCAATGGCATCACATACGTGACAAATAATTGTAAAAAATAGCGCCAAACCCCAAGCATACAACATATTTAAGCGGTGTTGATTCTTCTCCAAAATCTTCCCGCGATATTGACTGAAAGAGATTCAATATCTTATATATAAATAAATTGAATTAATGAAATTAAAAAAAATTACCAAAAATTCATCCATATATCAAAACTAATGACGTTTAACCACAAAAAAGTTGACAAAAACGAAAAGTAAATGATAGTTGCGGATATTTTACGAATGTACGGCTCCACATAGTTTGCACCATTCCATTGAACCAAAGCAAAAACAACGAAGAACATTATCAGAGATATCAAATAACAGATGAAACTTTTACTGAATAAATTGCGCAGCTCCAGTACGTATACGTGTAAGAAAATTGTGATTATCAGGAATACAACCGATGTCATCATGGCTAAATAAATAGAACATTCACTTTTCATATCAAAACGATGACGAATTAATGGGTTCGCACTCACTGTAAGGTAGAATGGAGAATCTTGGATGCAGCGGATCGGGTTTGCCCATACAAATGCCTGCCACTAATGTCACTTCATTTGCATTTTTGGATATCGTATGGAGACAGTATTCATGATGACTGTACAATTGGTTTCCATACAAAATATTTCCAGTCTGAAAGAGTTTCACATGAATCATATTCGAAGAAAAATAATACAAAAAAATATTTCCTCCTTACACGATAGGTGTGTGCGAAAAGATAATATTTACATGAGTTATTTTGAAGTTGTCGACAAAGTGGTGGAGTTTACATATTCTATCGACATATCCGAAATGTTGATCCAAATTGAGGATTGTGCTTTGATTGTTTTGATCGAATACTTCGGCAGTTAGGTTTTTCACCGTTTCATTTTTACTGCAAATCATTGATCCATCGTTTGGATTCACCTTTTCCACAAATGTTCCAAGTGGACAGCAGAGTCGAATGCACGATTTATCGATACAAGGACAACCCCGAAAATAAGGAATCACCTTAAGTTCTACTTCATTCTCCAAGACATAACTAATATTGGCATAGTGATCACGTGGAAACTCAATGCCATTGAATGTAATACTTTTATTTTGATGGAGCAGTCCATCGGTTATATTGACTGAATCGGAGAAATCGCACGGCAGTTCAGGACGAATTAATTGTGAACAACACCAGTTTACGTTAATTAATATAGTAATGAACACTTTCACCAAGTTAGTTCCTATTTTACTAATATCTAAAGTCATGTTCAACAAACTATACATTTTGGGGATTTTCGCAAATAAAATATTGTACTACTCAATAAGTCACTTAATATGTATGAGATTTATGCTATGATCACTTATATATCAAATTGTAAACAACCTGCCTTTTGAATTATTTTACAGTTCTTTTTTTCTATAACATTTCTGTTTCGTCGCCCATTTTATTCTGTTTGCTTGTTTTGATTTCACTTTTAAAATCACTTTCATTTTTACAGTCATCGGCAAAATTCTGGGAAGTTTTTTATTTATTCAGTTTTTTTCAGTTTCTTTTCAGTTGACAAAAAAAGACACAACAATACGAACATTCCAACAATCATTCAAATGACTCTGACCTATAAACAACTCCGTCTGAAATTATACTGATAATTCATTGAAAGCGGCATCCGCATGCTACTTATCGCACGCCATTCATCGCAATGTATTTTATGTAAACAATTCTCTTGTTGGGAATCGTCATCACTTTCGCTCAAAATACAATTAATTACGGTTTATATGCTCGCACAGTCACAATTTTATTTGTTCGCCCGGATCAATTAGTTATAAAAAAAAGTTTTATTCAAATTGTCTGAAAAATGATCTTGATCAGAAGTACTGTGATCTTTCTATTAATGGTATTAGTAGTACCTTTCCCTTCAAACACTGTGAGTGCACCGATTCTAGTTGATGTCAACATGACAGAAGGTAGCATATATTATACTGATTTTGGGATGTTAAGATTCATTTGTCATGATTTTTTTTGTGAACACTCAACAGGTTCAAATGAAACAATTGGCACAAGATTTGGAGTTAGTCCAATTATTTATGATCCATGTCATACGTTATATGGTGGTAATCATGTGCGATTATGTAACCGTTAAGTGCTGTTTACTGTCGTTTGCGGAAATGTAAAAAATGTGTTGTGGATGCTCATTTCGAACAAAGTGCTTTTTATCCAGCTTTGTATAAAAAACATCAATTTCATAGGAATATTTTGATATGTCCTATTCTAGTGGTAATTGAAAATTTGAAAATCGATATATATGACGAATTTGATAAAATTACACTTGTCCAAAATTGAATTCGATAATGTTAAGTTGTAGAAATTAAGTGATTTGACGAATTTCGACTTGTTATCGTTTTATTTCAATTGAATAAAGAAATAATAACTGAACAGAGAAAAAGAGCAGAGATTGTGTGTAACTGTGATTGACGTAATATATTCAACATTTGAACTCTTGCAGAGTGTATAGTGAGCTAGGGGGATTCCGCGCGTATTTATGTACCAAAATTTAACTTCATTCTTAAAATCTCATAAAAATTCAAATATCTCACCGTATCTGACAATATCCGTAAGTATTCACCGATATCCACCATGTAGGATACTTCAAATTTTGTCGAATATTTTGACATTTTTAGAATATGGGCGAATATGAGATAATAATGAATGGTGGTGAATTTTTGGCGCTGCAAACTGTCAGCAACTGCATTAGCGACATAAAAATATTTATAATAGGTGAATTATTGTGACAGCTTCTAAGCTGTCATGGTAGTTGTTTGTTAAATGTGTGTAAGTTTTTGCATTACAAAGCAAAATTGAAATGTGCCATTTGCAATGGAACGGTTCTGGCGTGAGTATCAAAACTTCTACGAATATAAAATTCCAAAAATTATTAAAGATATTTTAGCTGTCTGTGCAATCGATAGGGCGTCATTAAGTAATTTAAATGAACAAAGTATAAAAGAGATTGAACAAATAGTTAATCAGAACAAATCAATATATTTTTTAATATATAGAAGCTCTCATAATAATTCACCACTTCTTCATTCCCTGTTCTTGTCAAGTGCAACATTGTCGGTATTGCAGTTCAGAAAATCTCAAAATATCTCCCAAAAAACGTAAAGTTGTGTTAACATCTCTTGAATTTGTTGAAATTCCCCGAATTTGTTCATATTTATTCATATTTAAGTGCGCGGAATCCCCCTAGA